GTTTTCCCCGCCCCACTCCGTGTGATGCAGGGAACATCAAGAAACCACCTCCGGAGGTGGTGCTCAAGTGGATTTCACGGGCCTGGAAGGCGGTGCCCGCCGACCTCATCAAGAAAGCCTTCCTCACTTGCGGCATCAGCAACGCCCTTGATGGGAGCGAAGACAAACTGGTGCTAGCGCACCGAAGGTGCCAGTTGTCCCATGAGGTGGAGGTGGACGACGACATCCAGGCAGATGGGTTCTGGGGCAACAACTCCACGGAGCCTGAGTCGGACGAGGAGGAAGAAAAGGCAGTAGGGTAGACTAGGCAGGTTGAAAGGTGTAGTGCAGGACAGCAGAGACCACCCTTGTATGTGATAGTCATTCTTAATGGAAAGTTTAGAACATGTAGGCTAGGTAGGTTAAAAAAAATGAAATTCTTTTTTTTTTTTAACTAAACGAGTGCGCTTATAATAAGTCAAGAATTCCAAAGGGGTGCGCTTATAATTGAGGATCGGCCATAAGCGCATTGCTCCAGATACAAGCGCATGCGCTTAACATAGGCCTGCGCTTCTATCCGGGGCCATACGGTATAAAAAGGCTAGCCTGTTTATAAGAGACACCCGTATAGTAGACAACCCCTGTCTACTATTCAACACTTATTTCCGGGCGATGATGGTAATCAATTCCGCGATATTGCATTCTGCTCACTCTTCTTTCGTACAACTCATAACACCCCGTTAGCAGTAACGGCGAACAACGGCCGCTGCTGTACGCAATGTTGATGGTCGCGGTAAGGAATGTCGAGAAAATTCCTTACACGTACTCAAGCTCGTACTTTAGTGGTAGGTTCGACCCTTGGGGTTGCTGTGACACGACACGAGCCGCACCAGCCGTTGTCATATTTTAGACTGTCGCCTCGCCTCGCTTACCACCTGCACCACTGTCCTATCGCTCGACGAGGCTCTGGCCTCCCGAAAGTCAGGTCCTTTACAGTAGTCGGCGAAAAGCCAACAACGGGTTCGAAGCAGCTGCTGAGTTTCAGATTAGGTGTTCCGATCATAGGAGTGGTAAGCCTGCTTGTCAGGTCGAGTCGACCATCACAGCTCGTCGCACTCGTCACATAACCATCGCGCTATCCAGGTGTGCTGTCCTTTATGGTCGAATAGCCACCGCGCTGCCGCATTCGAGCTGTCGCGATCGCAGTATCACCGTGGAGGGCCACAGGTGGAGCTGCGACTGGTGTGTTGGCGCACCGGCGATCGTGCAGGGCTGCGCAATGCCTGTTGCGCAAGCGACGCCTCTCTGGCGCTCACGCGCTTGATCTCCCCGCGACCAGCGGCCTCGTTCATCTGCGCGGATAGCAATCATGGGGTTGATTTTCCCGCCGCTGCAAGTACCCTCCGCGAGCGTGGCGCACGGGAGTCGATTTCATCGCGCGCTGCGTCTGTTGCTGGGCGTGGTGCTCCTGGCGGCGCGGGGCCGCTGGGAATGCGTGCATGCTCAGCAGCACGGCGCAGCAGGGACAGGTAAGGCCGGCGAGGTGGCGAGGCGTAGCGCGGGGTAGCGAAGGGTAGCGCGGGGACTGCGAGGCGAGGGGAAAATTGGCGGCTGTCAGTCGGCTCGACTCCATGCCACGCCTCCGTCCTCCGTCCGTCAGCCCTGCCTCGCCAAGTCTGTATCTCCGTCTTCGTCTGTCCCCTTCTGCCCCGTGTATGGCCCACCCCTGCAGGGATGCAGCAGACGCCTCTTAACGGAGCCGCCACCACCACCCCCCTCCCATGGTTGGTGCTTCCTCTGCACCTCGCCTCCAGATGCCCCCGCCTCTTTCATTGTCGTGTAACCCTTCTCTTGCCCCTTTCGTTGTCATGTAACCCTTCTCTTGCCCCTTTCGTTGTCATGTAACCCTTCTCTTGCCCTTTTCGTTGTTGTGCAACGCTTCTCTTGCCCCTTTCGTTGTCGTGCAACGCTTCTCTTGCCCCTTTCGTTGTCGTGCAACGCTTCTCTTGCCCCTTTCGTTGTCGTGCAACGCTTCTCCTTGCTCTCTCCACACCTGCATACTTTTCCCTTCCTCTATCCCTCCCTTCGCCCACTCTAGCACTTTACTTCCCCATCCTCCCCTCGCTCCTTCCCTCCCCACTCCCCCCTCCCCACTCCCCTCTCCCCCCTCTCCCCTCCCCCCTCCTTTTTTTCTCCATATTGTCAATTTCTCCCTTGCTTCCTGCCTTGCTGCTTCTCTCTGTTAAAGCCTCGAATCGTCTCATCTCGTCTTTCCATATTCCTCATTTAACCCATCCCATCCGAACACACTGCATCCCATCCGAACACACTGCATCCCATCCGAACACACTGCATCCCATCCGAACACACTGCATCCCATCCGAACACACTGCATCCCATCCGAACACACTGGATCCCATCCGAACACACTGCATCCCATCCGAACACCCTGCATCCCATCCGAACACACTGCATCCCATCCGAACACACACTGCATCCCATCCGAACACACTGCATCCCATCCGAACACACTGCATCCCATCCGAACACACTGCATCCCATCCGAACACACTGCATCCCATCCGAACACACTGCATCCCATCCGAACACACTGCATCCCATCCGAACACACTGCATCCCATCCGAACACACTGCATCCCATCCGAACACACTGCATCCCATCCGAACACACTGCATCCCATCCGAACACACTGCATCCCATCCGAACACACTGGATCCCATCCGATCACACTGCATCCCATCCGAACACCCTGCATCCCATCCGAACACACTGCATCCCATCCGAACACACACTGCATCCCATCCGAACACACTGCATCCCATCCGAACACACTGCATCCCATCCGAACACACTGCATCCCATCCGAACACACTGCATCCCATCCGAACACACTGCATCCCATCCGAACACACTGGATCCCATCCGAACACACTGCATCCCATCCGAACACCCTGCATCCCATCCGAACACACTGCATCCCATCCGAACACACACTGCATCCCATCCGAACACACTGCATCCCATCCGAACACACTGCATCCCATCCGAACACACTGCATCCCATCCGAACACACTGCATCCCATCCGAACACACTGCATCCCATCCGAACACACTGCATCCCATCCGAACACACTGCATCCCATCCGAACACACTGCATCCCATCCGAACACACTGCATCCCATCCGAACACACTGGATCCCATCCGAACACACTGCATCCCATCCGAACACCCTGCATCTCATCCGAACACACTGCATCCCATCCGAACACACACTGCATCCCATCCGAACACACTGCATCCCATCCGAACACACTGCATCCCATCCGAACACACTGCATCCCATCCGAACACACTGCATCCCATCCGAACACACTGCATCCCATCCGAACACACTGCATCCCATCCAAACAAACTGCATCCCATCCGACACCAAGCCGTCCATGTGTCGTCATCATTCATGCCATTCGGGTTGTGGTTGGGAACCCACAGGTCGTCTGTTCCACAGCAGCAGAATCAACAGCAGCAACAGCAGCAGCAAGGGGGGGGTGCGGAGGTGCAGCGGTGGTATCTAGACAACAGTGAGCTAGAGGCGTTCCTCAGGGCCTATGTGGACCGATGCAGCCACATGGCACGCCTCTATAGGTGGGAGATGCAGCCACATGGCACGCCTCTATAGGTGGGAGATGCAGCCACATGGCACGCCTCTATTGGTGGGAGATGCAGCCACATGGCACGCCTCTATAGGTGGGAGATGCAGCCACATGGCACGCCTCTATAGGTGGGTGATGCAGCCACATGGCACGCCTCTAGGCGAATGCACTAGTCAACTGTCACAATGTGGACGGCTTATTGCTGCCACCCGCCCTGCACTCAACTCTCTTGGTTCCTTCTCTCGTCGCTTCCAGACCTAGAGCACTCTTCTTTGCTGCTTTCACTCGTCTTTGCTGCTTTCACTCGTCTTTGCTGCTTTCACTCGTCTTTGCTGCTTTCACTCGTCTTTGCTGCTTTCACTCTTCTCCTCTGATTTCGTTTCTTCGTGCCTCCACCCTTCCTGCGTCACATCTCCATGTTGTTCGATTCATTCCCCCCTGCAGCATCGGCCGCAGTGTGCTGGGCGTGCCTCTGGTGAGCTGAAAGTTGGGAGAGTGGAAGGCGGGAGTGGGAGTGGGAGTGAAGGGGAGGAGTGGGGGTTAAGGGAGGGTGGGAGAATGATGTATGTGAGTGGAAGTGAAGGGATTAGATGGGATGGGGCCCACATAGTGGGCGCATGCGTGTTGTGTTGTACATGTCCCTTGTGTGCTGGTGGTATCAAGGAGAGAGTTAATCATCCAGCTTTGGCCTGGAACGCCAGAAAGCCGACTGCTTTGATGCGTGACATGCGATTCAGAGTCAACACATCCCCGCATTCTCCCATCCTTGCTGCCCGCCATTTTGTTCTTGTACCGTGTCATCTCGCTTCCCCCCCTCCCCACCCAACCGCTGCGCATTCCTCTTGCCTCCACCTTCCATTCGTATGTGACCATCACCCCTGTGCGCCCATCATCACCCCTGTGCGCCCATCATCACCCCTGTGCGCCCATCACCACCCCTGTGTCTGCTGTGTGTGTGCCAGTGGGTGCTGCTCATTACTTTGAACCCAACTGAAAAGCGCCCTCGCTTCACATTCAAGGTGCCCTTGCTTTTCTTCTTGTCACGAGCTTTCACACCAAAATGCGGGATTGTGAATTGTCGCTACAGATATGAATGAAAGCTGACATCTGTGTTGTGTTTGTTCCAGCCAGTTGTTATGTGCCCTCGTATATGAAAAGAACATCTCAGTTTCAGTCGAGCAAATCTTCCATTGCGCCAGTTCCTCTGCCCACCCCACCGAGGTTGCGTTGATCTGGGCCGGCCCGTCCCTCCCAGTTGATGTGTGTGCATGCCTTGTGCGCCAATGGTCCTGACTTCCGTCCCCACCCTTCCCTCCCTCGCTCCCTCGCTCCCTCCGTCCCCGCAGTACATAGGCGGCGTGCATGGGGACGAGCCGCTGGGGCGGCAGCTTTTGCTGTACCTCGCGGACTGGCTGTGCAACAACTATCCTTCGCACCCCCTTGTGAGTGCAGTGCACCCCCTTGTGAGTGCAACTCCTTGTGATTGCGCCCCCTTGTGAGTGCGAATGGCCTCAAGCTGCCGTGCCATGACTTTCCCCCAGTATCCTTCCTTCCCATCTTTGATGTCAGCTATTGGTTGGCTTTATTATTTCGAGAAACAACAACATTATCCTGTGAGACTGATGCGAAGCAATTAATTCTTGTGCGTATGTGCGTTTGCGGTCATGTGTTTCTGCATGTGCATGTGCATATGTTTCTGTATGTGCATGTGCACGTGCATGCATGCATGCATGTGTGCACGAGTGGTGGACATGAACTGGTGTTGCCTGGCTGTATGCCAGGGCAACACCGTGTTTGGGCAACACCGTGTTTGGGCAACACCGTGTTTGGGCAACACCGTGTTTGGGCAACACCGTGTTTGGGCAACACCGTGTTTGGGCAACACCGTGTTTGGGCAACACCGTGTTTGGGCAACACCGTGTTTGGGCAACACTGTGTTTGGGCAACACCGTGTTTGGGCAACACTGTGTTTGGGCAACTCCGCGATTGTGTGTCGCATGCTTGTGTGCTGTGTGGTGCGGGCTGGTGGGAATGAGTGGGATGAGGTGGAGGGGGGGGGGGGGAGCAGATGTGACGTGCATGGGCATGAACACGAAACATGCTGGAATGGTCAACGTGAGAAGGATTGGAACGTCTGGAATGGGTTGGGAAAGGGAGTGGAGTGTGGAAGTAGTGTGTGTGGTGGGTGTGCTTTGTGTGGTGGTGTAGTTGTGGCGTGTGGTGAGTTTTCCGTTGTGGCATGGTGCATGTGGCGCGGTGGCTGTGCTGTGCTCTGCTGTGTTCTGCTTGGTGGGTGTGCGGCGGTGTGCTGCGGTGTGCTGTGGTGTGATGCGGTGGCATGGCAAGGAGCAAAGCAGGCGAGGGAGGTGGTGGAGGGGGTGGAGCTGCATCTACTGCCGGCCATGAACCCCGATGGCTTCACGCTGCACACCAGGGAGAACGCCAACCGAGTCGACCTCAACCGCGCCTTCCCTGACCATGTCAGTGCGCCTCCTACCCATGCCTCGCTGCACCCGCCCCTCCCCATGCCTCGCTGCATCCGCCCCTTCCCATGCCTCTCTCTCTCGATCCCGTTTTCGCGAATTGTGGTTTCGCGTCACGCTATTTATGTTTCCGTTGGGCTGTTCCCGTGCTCTTGATGGTCCAGCGTCCAGCATCCGCACGCACTATTTAGACGCTTGACACTGGACTGGACCATCAGGCCTAGATCTGGACCTTGAGCTTCCCGTTCTCCCCCCTTCTCTCTTTCCCCCATACTTCTCCCCCTCTCTCTGCCCCCCACCTCTTCCCACCCCTTCTATCCCGCTTCTCTCCTGTGGGGGCGCCCCCCAAGGCAGTGGTTCGCGGAGATGAATGCGGAGGAGGCGGGGCGGCAGGCGGAGGTGCGCGCCGTGATGCGGTGGACACAGCGCCACCACTTCAGCGCCTCTGCTAGCCTGCACGGGGTGAGGGGGAGAGGGGGGGGGGGGGGGGGGGGGGGGGCGGGGGGGCGGAAGGGGGGGTTGGTTGGGAGAGGGGGTTGGGGAGGGGGTTGGGGGGAGGGAGGGTGGAGGGGGTTGGGGAGAGGGGGATGAGGGGAGGGGTGAAGGGTTAAGGGTGAGAGTTGAGGGGTGAGAGGGCAGGGGGTGAGTGCAGCAGGGGGTGGGCTAGGGATGGGGGAAGGGGATGATAGTTGCCGTGTCATGCTGGTACGTGATCAACCCCCACAGCTGAAGTTTGGGGTTCAGGTGCATTGCACTGCACTAGAGCGTGCGTTCGAGAGACCCACGTGCTTTATCCAACTCCTGCTGCTGCTGCTGCTGCTGCTGCTGCGCCTACTCTTTCTCTCGCCGTTCAACTTGTGCACTCTTCCCGCCTCCTGTGATTCCCCCTTTCATCGTTCCCAATCTACAACTCCCCTTTGTCCCCCCTGTCCCCCACACAGGGAGCACTGGTGGCGAGCTATGCATGGGACGGCACTAAGGACAAAGGGTACCGCCCTTGCCCACCCCAACCATGTGCTGCCATGCATCGCCCTGTGCCTCCATGCATCGCCCTGTGCTGCCATGCATCGCCCTGTGCCTCCATGCATCGCCCTGTGCCTCCATGCATCGCCCTGTGCTGCCATGCATCGCCCTGTGCCTCCATGCATCGCCCTGTGCCTCCATGCATCGCCCTGTGCCGCCATGCATCGCCCTGTGCTGCCATGCATCGCCCTGTGCCTCCATGCATCGCCCTTGCCCATGCATCGCCCTGTGCCTCCATGCATCGCCCTGTGCCTCCATGCATCGCCCTGTGCCTCCATGCATCGCCCTGTGCCTCCATGCATCGCCCTGTGCCTCCATGCATCGCCCTGTGCCTCCATGCATCGCCCTGTGCCTCCATGCATCGCCCTGTGCCTCCATGCATCGCCCTGTGCCTCCATGCATCGCCCTGTGCCTCCATGCATCGCCCTGTGCCTCCATCTTTCCTATCTTGCATCCGTTTTCCTGTTCCCTCGGCTGTCATTGATTTATCCTGCCTCCCCCTCCCCTTTTCTCCCCACACTCCCCTCCCTCCCTCCACTCAGCCACAAAACTTCCCACTTCTCATCTTCATCCTTTAAACCCATCTCTCCACTTCTCATCTTCTTCCCATAAACCCATCTCTCCACTTCTCATCTTCATCCCATAAACCCATCTCTCCACTTCTCATCTTCATCCCACGAACCCATCTCTCCACTTCTCATCTTCATCCCATAAACCCATCTCTCCACTTCTCATCTTCATCCCATAAACCCATCTCTCCACTTCTCATCTTCATCCCACAAACCCATCTCTCCACTTCTCATCTTCATCCCACAAACCCATCTCTCCACTTCTCATCTTCATCCCATAAACCCATCTCTCCACTTCTCATCTTCATCCCATAAACCCATCTCTCCACTTCTCATCTTCATCCCATAAACCCATCTCTCCACTTCTCATCTTCATCCCATAAACCCATCTCTCCACTTCTCATCTTCATCCCAGAAACCCATCTCTCCACTTCTCATCTTCATCCCACAAACCCATCTCTCCACTTCTCATCTTCATCCCATAAACCCATCTCTCCACTTCTCATCTTCATCCCATAAACCCATCTCTCCACTTCTCATCTTCATCCCATAAACCCATCTCTCCACTTCTCATCTTCATCCCATAAACCCATCTCTCCCATTCCAACTCCCCCATCCTCTTCCCTCACCCCCAACAACCCCCTCCCGCCAAACCCCCTCGCCCCCGTGCCACCAGAGCAGCACGCACTACGCTGCATCGCCAGACGACGCCACATTCCGTCTGATGGCCACCACCTACGCCACCGCCCACCCCTCCATGGCGCTCTCGCGTGACTTCCCCGGCGGCATCACCAACGGCGCCTCCTGGTGGGCAGCAGAGAGGGGGGAGAAGAGGGTTGGTGTGGTAGGGGGAGGGTGGGTGGGGATGGGGGGGTGCGTGAGGAGAGGGGGCAGCCACCTATGCCGCCAGCCACCCCTCCATGGCGCTCTCGCGTGACTTCCCCGGCGGCATCACCAACGGCGCCTCCTGGTACCGCGCCCAGGGGGGAGTGGCTGGGGGTGGGGGAGGAGAAAGGAGGGGAGAGGGTTGGGGGGGAAGAGGGCAGGAGAGGGAGAGGGAGAGGGAGAGGGTGGGGTTGGTGAAGAGGGCGGTGGTGGTTGGTGAAGAGGGCGGTGGGGGTTGGGCGGAGTTGAGTGCAATTGTGGATGGGGGCCTGGGAAAGATTGCTGAATGGTGCCACCTCTTGTCTCCTTTCCTCCTCCCATGTCCCCCCACACCTACCCCATCGCTCCCTCCCCCATGCCTTGCCCAAAGCCTCCTCCATGCCTCGCCCATGCCCACCCACACCTACCCCATGCCTCCCTCCCCTATGCCTCCCCCATCCCTCCGCCATGCCTCCCCCATGCCTCCCCAATGCCTCCCCCATGCCTCCCCAATGCCTCCCCCATGCCTCCCCCATGCTCCGCCATGTCCCGACCATGCGGCCATGTGTACGCACCCGCCCATGCTCACAGGTATCCGCTGTACGGGGGCATGCAGGACTGGAACTACGTCGAGGCGCGCTGCATGGAAATCACCCTCGAGCTGCACATCGCCAAGTGGCCCTCGCCCTTCCTTGTATGCCCCTTGGCCCCGCCCACCCTCTTGCTGTTGTTCTAGGATGCCCTTGTCTGCCCTTGCCCTTCCTCGTATGCCCCATGCCCACTGCACACTTGCTGCTGCTCTGCTGTCGTGAGATTGATCACTAGGCCCTTCCTCGTACGCCCTCGCTCTTCCTCGTATACCCTCGCCCTTCCTCGCATGCCCTTGCCCTTCCTCGTACGCCCTCGCCCTTCCTCGTACGCCCTCGCCCTTCCTCGTATGCCCTCGCCCTTCCTCGTACGCCCTCGCCCTTCCTCGTACGCCCTCGCCCTTCCTCGTACGCCCTCGCCCTTCCTCATATGCCCTCGCCCTTCCTCGTACGCCCTCGCCCTTCCTCGTACGCCCTCGCCCTTCCCCGTACGCCCCTTACCGCCTCCACCCTCTTGCCGCTGCTCTTGTGAGATTAATCATTTGGGACCTTGCCCTTCCTCGTATACCCGCCCCCTTGCTGTGGAAGCCCCTGTTCTTGTGTGCCCGCCCTCTTGCGACCACCTTGTGAGATATATATTGAGAATTGGTTTCCCCACTTGTCTTGGTCGACGACGGAGGCCCCTCTTACTGAATATTGAGCTTATCACTTTGCCGTCAATCAGCTCCCAACACAACAATCCTTTGGACCCTTGATTTTTTTGTCAAGATAACCACAACCAAGGTGAACCCTGGCGATATACCCAAACTAGGGTTGGGTGCTTATCTCTATCCAAACAACACTAGTCTATGCAGCTAATACCATAAGTGGCGCATTCCCCGTTCGTTCGCCGCCTCTGCGCATGCGCCACTGCATCCACGTGCGTGCCTCGCCTGCTGCTCATATTCTTATCCTGCTCCTTGCATCGGCCCTCGCGCTCCTTTCTAGACTCCTTTTAACCTCGGTCTCCGAACCGCGTTTCCGATCTTAATGTGTCGTGCCATTTTACAATCGGTTCTGATGTAGTTGTAAGTTGACCGAAGCTTCGCCCTGGATTTTGATTATGTTATGAATGTTATTTGTTCGTTCACAGAGTTATCTCAGCGTTTGTACTTGTTTTGCGACGTCTGTTGTTTCCGCGTCCATGCATCATTCGGGGAATATTCATTGGAATCTTTCCCCCCTGCTTTTGGCGTCAGGGGTTCTGCTGCGCTTAAGAATCATTTGTCTTAGTAAGTTTATCCCTCAACGTTTACCATTCACCCATTGCGCACTCAGTGAGTTTCTCCCAGTGGCGGGTGCACGATGGGTGAACGGTAAACGTTGAGGGAGAAACTCACTAAGACAAATGATTCTTAAGCGCAGCAGACCCCCTGACGCCAAAAACACGAAGGCAATATGTCAATGAAGACTCATCGGATGCTATATGAACGCATAAACAACATACGTCGCAAAACGATAACAAGTGTTGAGGGAACAATGCTGTGGAACCAACAAATAACATTCATATCATAATCAAATCCACGGCGAAGCTTTGGTCGACATACAATTACATCAAGACCGAATTCGAACTGGCACAACACGTTAGGAACGAAAACGCGGCTTGGAGACTGAGGTTAGAAGACAACTAGAAAAGAGTGCAGGGGCCGAGGCAGGGAGCGGAATACGAATCTGAGCAACAGGCGACTAATGCACGTGGGGCACAGTGGCGCACGCGCAGTGGTGGCGAACGAACGGGGGATGCGCCACTGATGCATTCCCATTTCCTCTGCAATGCACCTACCCGCATTCTCCCTGCTTTCTTCCATCTCACACCCCCCCATTCATTGCTCTTTCTGTTGCATTCTCCGCACCATTTTCGTCGTCCCTACCATCCCCTCCCATCTTCCCCTCTCACTCACCTTAACCTCTCACCTTCCCCTCTCAATTTCCCCTCTCACCTTTTCCTCTCTGCTTCCCCTTTCCTGTTGTCTGCTACATCTCTCCTTGTGCCCCCCTCGGCTCTGCCCCCCATGCCACAACCCTACGTGGTGAGCAGCTGCCTCAGCTGTGGGAGGAGCACCGACCGGCCCTGCTCGCCCTCCTCACCACCACTGCCAAGGTGCGCTCTTCACGCCATGCTGCACCATGCCATGCCCGCCATGCCATGCCATGCCCACCATACCATGCCATGCCCGCCATGCCATGTCATGCCACGATGTCATGCCATGACGTGCAGTGTGCCACTCATTATGAGCGCAGTGTGAACACCCTTTCCAGCGCTCATCACGAGTACTTCATTTTCCACCATGCCATGTGACACACTGCACCATGTGGTGCCATGTGATGCACCATGCCAAGTGGTGCCATGTGATGCACCATGCCATGTGGTGCCATGGCTTAAGATCCGAGCCCTATGATGACTTCCCTTTGATGCCATGCGACACCAGATGCCTCCAACACGTCCCTTCCTCCATCCAACACCCTTTTCTTCTTGCCCTGTCTTGATGCCTGCCCGCATGCCCATCTCCTCTTCTGCCACTGCCCCGGCCTGCCCCCTCATGCTGCCTACCATACTGCCGTCCACCACACCACACCACACCACACCACATTGGGGAGGGCGGCGAGCAGATGGGCGTGCAGGGCACGGTGCTGTCTGCAGCCACCTCGGCGCCCCTACCTGCCAGCATCGCTGTGCATGGGATTGACATCCAGGTCAGCCGCTCTGCCCCTCTCTTCCTGCACTCCTGTCGCCGTCACCGCATGCTGCATGGGTGGATGGGTTCATGGGCGCATGGGGTTGCATGGGTGCATGGGGGTGCATGGGGGCATGGGGGTGCATGGGGGTGCATGGGGGCATGGGGGTGCATGGGTGCATGGGTGCAAGGTTGCTTGGTTGCATGGGTGCATGGCCAACAAGGACAGCATCACGATTTTGGCCACATGCATCAGCGGAACATCCATAGAGCCCTGTCACAGCAGCGCTCTGCTCAACTTATTTGTCACTTCCTGTCTCTCCCCCACCTATCCTTGCATTCACTGGCCTTCTACCAATCCTCAACCTACGTTGGCAGATAAGCCTTTCTCATATAATACGCTTGCGCAAAAAAAAGAGAAACGTATCTGCAAATGCGGATTCATGCTGCTTTGCACCCCTCCCACTCCCCCTCCTTACCTGAATCCCACTCCTTTTCTTAGCCTGCCTGAGCCTCCGTATTCAGTGTATCCCCACCCCATTTCTCTTTAGCGTATTATACAAAAATCGTGTACTTCACTTTCCAACTCAGGCACCTCCATATGCCCCTCCCCATACCCTTCCCCATGCCTCTCCCCATACCCTTCCCCATGCCTCTCCCCATACCCTTCCCCATGCCCCTCCCCATGCCCATGCCCCTATACTCATCCCCTTCCCCCCACCCATCCATCCCATGGCTAACACTACACATCCATCTCCCCCCATCCGCCCCCCGCTATGACGTCCATCTCCCCCCATCGATCGCCCCCAGGTGATGGCATCAAAGCGCTTTGGGGACTTTTACCGCCTGCTGCCGCCAGGGAACTACACAGGTGGGGGGGGCTGATGCTGGTGGGGGGGGCTGACGCAGGTGGGGGGGGCTGACGCAGGTGGGGGGGGCTGACGCAGGTGGGGAAGGGGGCTGCCAATGCAGTTGGGTTTCGGGTGGGGCTAACTGCACAGGTGTGTGGGGCTAACTGCACAGGTGGGTGGGGCTAACTGCACAGGTGTGTGGGGCTAACTGCACAGGTGGGTGGGGCTAACTGCACAGGTGTGTGGGGCTAACTGCACAGGTGGGTGGGGCTAACTGCACAGGTGTGTGGGGCTAACTGCACAGGTGGGTGGGGCTAACTGCACAGGTGTGTGGGGCTAACTGCACAGGTGTGTGGGGCTAACTGCACAGGTGTGTGGGGCTAACTGCACAGGTGGGTGGGGCTAACTGCACAGGTGTGTGGGGCTAACTGCACAGGTGGGTGGGGCTAACTGCACAGGTGTGTGGGGCTAACTGCACAGGTGGGTGGGGCTAACTGCACAGGTGTGTGGGGCTAACTGCACAGGTGTGTGGGGCTAACTGCACAGGTGTGTGGGGCTAACTGCACAGGTGTGTGGGGCTAACTGCACAGGTGGGTGGGGCTAACTGCACAGGTGTGTGGGGCTAACTGCACAGGTGGGTGGGGCTAACTGCACAGGTGTGTGGGGCTAACTGCACAGGTGTGTGGGGCTAACTGCACAGGTGTGTGGGGCTAACTGCACAGGTGTGTGGGGCATGGTGGGTGGGGCGGGGCATGGTGGGTGGGGCGGGCATGGTGGGTGGGGCGGGCATGGTGGGTGGGTGGGGCGGGAATGGATAGTGGAGCGCCCACCATCAGGCCCAGGCCGGAGCAAGGGGGAGATGGCAGTGCCAGGTCTACAGTGAAGTGCAATCCCTATGCTACGTTGGAGTTCTTCTCGGGTTACAGCAATGCCATGTTGCCTTCCTTGCCTCTTTTACGTCCGCCCTCTCTTTCACTTCGCTCCACTGAGGGCACGTCGCTGCATGCCTCCCTCTTGTCTCTAACTCCCACTCCCCTGCCGCTGCCCGTCCCCCCTTGCTTCCACGTGCCCCCCTCTACGTGCCAGTGACCATATCACACGCGGGGCACGTCAACCACACCACCAACGTCACAGTGCTCGCAGGCCGCCCCACGCTGCTACACGTCCTGCTCCGCACCTCCTCCCCCCCCTCCCTCCACGCCCCCTCCATCTTTCAAACCCGCTCCTTGCCCCCACCGCCCCCCCACCCCTCGGGGCTCGCCGCCTGGCTACCCTGGCACTGGGGCAGCAAGAGAGGAGACGCCACGGAAAAGCAGGGAGTGAGGAAGGGGGGAGGGCAGGGAGGCAGGGCAGGGGGGGCAGATGATCCGTCTCTGGTGCTGCCTTCACGGCAGCAGGCAGCAGCAGCGGCGGCAGCAGGGGGGGTGTTGAGTAGTGATGAGGTGATGTGGGCGGTGGGCATGGGAAGCAGTGCAGCGCTGGCGGCAGCAGTGGTGGCGGTGGTGCTGCTGGGCGGGCTGCTCATGATGGTGGGCCACCGCCGCCGCCGCTTTCTCTTCTCCCACCGGGGGCTGCCTCTACGCTCGCTGCCGAAAGTGTGACTGTATCGAAGCTTGATTTGGGCGCAGGTGTAAAGGCTAATTGTAATTAATATTGGTGTGGTACTCTCAATGCTGGATGCAATGTTGCATGCCATCCTAGATTTCAGCATAACATTTCCACACAGCTCGACAGCTATCATATCAAGGCTCTTGGGCAGGCCCTCAGATATCAGCGTAAAACACGCTGATTACGCTGATTTTGTAGCTGTGATTTTCGTTTTCCCTGAAAATTCAGCATATGCTTCAATTTTGCACTGAAATTTCAGTATATCCTAGCTTGTCACACTGACCATTTTGCATGTTTCTTTACAAGAAACACTGACGAATCAGTATAGTGACGTGAGTCACACTGAAACGGAGTTGATCGCGTGTGGGGGGGTGGTGGGGGGGGGTGATAGGGTAAGCATGTACAATCTGTACCTTCCCGTGATTCCTGAGACCCCACCCACACACTAGGCATTTTTTCGCATGCACTACACAGATATCAGGTGCGCGCCGAAGTGTTTAGCCTCGCTGGAACCTATCACAGCAACAACACCACACACCTTGTACTGGGGTTTCAGCTATAGTTTTTTGTTATTACACTGTTGGTTCAGTTTACTTATGATTTTTACACTGGCTAAATCAGTATAAAAAAAAACCGTGAACGCTGATTTGGACACCTCGTTGGCCGGGGCACGCTGATCCATCAGCATACCCTCAAACCAATCTGAGGGCCTGCTCTTGGGCTGTGTTAGAGTGTGCACACACCAGCAGCAGTCAGCACATGAACGAGCTACCTAAGAGTGTTTCGGACTCCTATGTACGTGCAGGGCATGGGCATCACAACCCATGTGCATGGGATGCACAGCTTCTGCGCCATGCCATGTGGCATCACATCACATCACATCATATCACATCGCACGGTGAGGCGAGTCTTCAGATGTCCATGCAGTCCGCATCATCTGCACCACCACCTCCATCCCTATTCCCAGCACCAGCAGCACTCCCACCAGCACCAACCCCACCAGCATGAGCACAGGCGTCACTGCCACCGCCGTCCAACACCTCATCCGCGGCACCCAACCCGTCAGTGAAGCGTGCTTGCAGCTGGTCAGCGTGCCCGGCGCCCGCAGCCAGGGAGTGGTCGTGCAGGAAGGCGATGTACGCTGCTGCTCGCTCCAGCAGTGATGCCGTGTCCAGCCTTGCACTGCCCGGCACCAACGACTGGTGGGAAGCATTCCGAGGAGGGGGGGGAAGGGGGAGAGGGGAGGAGTGATGGGAGATAAGGGTTAGGAATGGGAATGTATGGCGTGTCGTAGGTGGTGGAGAAACCTGACCAAGTGAGGGTGCAACAAAGGAGAGAGGTGAGGTGATGGGAGAGCGGTGACTGGTTGGGACAGAACAGAATCCACACCACGCTCTCTCATCTTAAAGACACACGCACACGCAATGGATAACAATTGTTGCACACCTTGAGCACGCCCATTCTGCTGCTGATGTTGGCCCTCCTGCGTCTAGCAGCCACGCTCTGGGCGTCCATGGCAGTGCCTCGCCGCTGCCGCTGTGCCGCCTTCTCCCGGTATTCCTCCAGTGCTGCCGCTGCTTCCGCCGACATACACACGCGTCCCCCACCCCCCACCTTCCGCCACTTTGCCCCGGCCAACCCCTCGCCTGCGGCGCTGCCTGCCCCGCCTGCTGCCCTGGCAAGCTCTGCTGACCCTCCTCTTTCCCCAGGTGCTGCTGCTGCTGCGGCCGTCTCCCGTTCTGCAGCCACTGCTTGTGCATCTGAAGGTGTTCTTGCGGTTGTTGCACCCACCAATGCTGCCGATGCTACTGGGGTCACCACCGCTGCTGCACCCTCTGCTTCTGCCTGTGCAGTTATTTCCATGGATGCTGGTGCGTCTGCCTTGCCCACTCCTCGCAATCCCAGCGCCACTGTGTGTGCGCCCACAATTTTCCTAATGCCCACTGCTGCTCTCCCTGTCACTGCAGCTCCTGTCCCCACGGTTGCTCCTCTTCCCATGGTCGCTCCTCCCCCCACGGCCGTTCCCCCAAAATCTCCGCCACCTGGCCTCTCAGCCGCCCCGTAATTGCGCCAGGGGCGGGAACGGGAGGTGGCAGGGCAGCGGGCAGGTGAGGGGCTGGCGGGAAGATGCGCGGGTGAGGGGTGAGGGGGGTGCGCAGTGGCGGCAGGGGGCGCGCGGTCAGACGGGAAGGGCGTGGATGGCGTGGGGAGTGCGAGGGGGGTCGGGAGCGTGAGGGCTGAAAAGGAGGGGGAGGGGGTTCTGAGGACTGGGGGAGAGGAAGGCGGAAGAGCGAGGGGTGGGAGAAGGAGGGGCGAGGGCGGGCCAGGCCTCACCCTCCCGCCTCCTGTGCGCGTGGCGGGGTTCTGCCAATCAGGACCATCAGCGGCGCCGCAACTGCTTCTCGAGGCAGGCGGGGTCTTGGCGAAGCCACTCCGCGCGCCCTCGCCCCTTCTCAGCTCGTCCGCCCGCCGTTTCAGCGCGCATGCCGGAGGCGGGATGCGCGAAGACGCGGCAGGCAGCGCGAGCAGCGCGCAAGCGCGGCGGTCGTGGCGGTCAGGCGCCCGCGCGCAGAGGAGCGGCGGAGCTGCCCCCCCAGTATGCGGCGCCCCGCGCACGAGCCTCGTCGCGTCGATCATGGGCTCGCTGCCAGCGGAAGGCAGCTGCGCGGCATTCAGTGACGGGGAATCCGCGCGCGCGCAGGCGGAGGGGGGCGGCCCGATGCTAGCGGCGGGAAGAGAGCCGAAGAGGGAGGTGGGGCCGGAGCGAGGGGAGGGGGGCGCAGGGGGAGACGAAATGGCCGGGACCTGCAGCACGATATCCGATGTGGGCGGCGGCGGAGGCGGTGGCGGGGCGGCATCATGGGCGGCATCATGGGCGGCGGCATGCAGCTCAGGAAAGAGGTCCTTCACCACGTCGTCCCACGGCGTCGCGCCGTCATTACCAGAGTCGCAACCCTCCTCCGCACCGCACCCTTCCTCCGCACCGCACCCTTCTTGCGCGCCGCGCCCCTCGTCGTCGCATCCCTCTTCGCCGTCGGCGCGCCCGTCGAGCCGCTCAATGCTCCGCCACAGTTCGTCCCCCAAAACGATGGAGTCCAACGCCGCCAGCGACAGTCGTGGCGACAGTCTCGGCGACACTGTTGGCGACAGTCTCGACGAAGCGCCCGGCATGATCAAGGAGTCGCCGAATGGAGACCATAGCAGGTTCTCGTCGTGCCACGTGTCATTTCCAGGCGATCGGCACGACCCGGAGTTTCCGTAAGTCGCGGTACGTGGCGTCGCGTCGCCTGCGTCGCTCGCGGAGAGCTGAGGGATAGCTGCGACTGGCGTCGTAGCGTTCGCACAGTCCGCCGCAGCGAAGACGAACGGCTTGTCGCAGCCTGCAGCGCCTGGCGATAGTTTGGCCTCACTGTCGCCGTTGATTAGCATGTGCCAGCCATGTCCCTCATCTCCGCCGTCGATTTCATCCCTCGAGTGGAGCGCACTCGTAGAACACGTCGCGGCGCGGTGCGGACGCGGTCCGAAAACCGGACCGGGCGCAATCCGCTCGGCCAGTGGCGGTAGTCGTAAAAACGAGGGCGTATCGCTGCGCTGAGAGTCAATTCTACGCAAGACCGCGTGGTCAGCCACGTGGCAGCCGCTGACTCTCTTTCCGCCGCACGCCACACTGTCGCCCATGCTCTCCCCCTCGTCGCCGTCCCACCCGCCGATGTCGCAGCCTGGCGTCGCATCATATTTTCGCGCCGCTTCGCAATTTCCCGAGCCGCACGACTCTTGAGCCTCCTCTTGCAACCACGCAGACGACTCGCCAAATAATCGCTCTGAAACGCGATGCGCACGCGTCGAGGATCTGTTCGGACCTTTCGCCTCGCGAGATCTGAGGGCGACACCTTGTTTCAGCGCGTAGTAGGGACGAGAACCCTCTAGCGCCATGGCAAATAATTTTGTTTGAGTGGTATCTCTGGATGGATTTGTTCCCGAAGCGCCCAATCAAGCTCTGGACGAATCAGTTTGTCAGAAAGCGTAGCAGGTGTTTAATTGAGCTCGTTTGCTGCGGCTGATCGCATTCCTATAATTCCGTCTGGAGTTTGCCAAGAGGAAAGGCGCATCCCTAAATCCCCGTGCCTGACGCAACATCCACAAGGGAGAGGTGCGCAGAGCAGCAATAATTTTGAACCACTCTCCTGAGAGGGGTGGAAGGTAAGGAAAGGGGCAATAATGTTGGGCTGTCCTGCCGCGACACACGCCCGGAATGGAACTGGCACAATAATTTTGCGGCTCGGGAAGAGACAGGAGAGCCAGAAGCGACTCCCGACAGGGATTGAACTACACTTTTGGTGCGTCTAGAAAGTTTTCTTCATTATCGTACTATCATATCTTTCATTTATAGTAAATATATGGTCTAAAAAATCCTTTCTTCTTCCATTTGCAAAAAAAATCAAGATAAATTTAAAACTAGATATATTCTAATAATGGTGATGATGAGTCATTTTTCGTTCAATTTAAATGGTCTAGCGGTGATAAAAACCAGATTGATAAATCATACTCAGCTTACACTTTCCAGACCAAGTGCACGTCAGGTGTTGGCGCTAAAAAGGGTATTTGCTCGTGGGTCGTGACCCGTGTTGCCGAATTGACCTGAATCCACAGCCACAGCACACGTGGCAGCACATGATACTCTGATTTTACCACTCGGCGCCCGCAGCGCCGCAGCCACGGGTCTCAATTCCTCGCGCGTGGCCACTGTGGCCCCATCCTTGCGACGATCTGCGCACGCCGTCGCACGACCTTCGCACGCCGTCGCCTCGTCCTTCCCTGTGCACATCCGTCTGCACGTAGCACACATAGTGCGACCGCTTCGGTCGCACGTGATGGTCGCAGACGACTCCCCTGCGACGCTGTTCGGCGTGTCGCGGCCGCTACTCACCTTCCTCGCCTGCCTCCTCTCCTCCATCCCCGCCGCTGCGCTCGTGCCGCTCCTCCCTTCCCCCTCCACCCGCCACGTGTACAATGTCGTCGTCGGCGCTGCCACGTGCTGGTTCGCGTACGGCGGACTGAGAGGTGCGCGTGGTGGGGGGAGAGGGGAAGGGGGAAGGGGGGAGGAGGGGGAGAGTGAAGCAGGGGGGGTGGCGGAGGGGTAAAGGGGAGGAAGTGGTCGGAGGGACCGCGGTTGTGTGAATGGGGTATGATGGCAACGGAGGGGAGAGGAGAAAGGAAGGTAGGGGAGATGACGTGAGAGGAAGAGTTGAAGAATTGGTGAGGAAAGGGTTGAGAAGGGGATGGAAAGAGGGAGGAGGGCGGGAAATAGGGAAGAGGATGGGTGGCTTTGGGCAGATGTGGAGGGCTGGGTGTGGGTTTGGAGGTGCGAAGGGGAGAAGGGAGAGTGGGCAAGTGCGGTTTGCAGGCATGCGAGTGTGTTGAACGGCGGGTGGCTCTCAGCTCAGTAACGACCACTCTATCCTCCCATAACCCCCTCTCACCCCATTCCCCCATTCCTCCACCCCATTCATCCGATGAGCAATGCCTCCATCGTCATTGCATGCATGCGAGCAGCGAGTGCGGCCATCTGGGAGCTCAACGGTCAACCTCGCCTGCTACGCGCTCATGCTCGCCCTGCCTCCACGCTCACCTCACTTCCCGTATCTCCCTCTCCTCCCAACCCCCTCATCATCGCCAAGCGAGCAGCGAGTGCGGCCATATGGGGCGTCACCCTCGCCTGCTACGCGGCCATGCTCGCCCTGCCTCGCCGCCTCTCCGGCTACGTCGTCTTCCTTGCCGCCTTCGCCTTCCTCATCTTCTGGTCTGCCCCCTCCCATGCGCCCCACCTGCGCCCCTTCTGTGTTTCTCTCATGGTTTCACTCCTCTGCTGCGCCTCATGCCCTGCTTTTCCCTCTTGTCCCACTGCATTTGTGTTTCTCTCATGGTTTCACTCCTCTGCTGCGCCTCATGCCCTGCTTTTCCCTCTTGTCCCACTGCATTTGTGTTTCTCTCATGGTTTCACTCCTCTGCTGCGCCTCATGCCCTGCTTTTCCCTCTTGTCCCACTGCATTTGTGTTTCTCTCATGGTTTCACTCCTCTGCTGCGCCTCATGCCCTGCTTTTCCCTCTTGTCCCACTGCATTTGTGTTTCTCTCATGGTTTCACTCCTCTGCTGCGCCTCATGCCCTGCTTTTCCCTCTTGTCCCACTGCATTTGTGTTTCTCTCATGGTTTCACTCCTCTGCTGCGCCTCATGCCCTGCTTTTCCCTCTTGTCCCACTGCATTTGTGTTTCTCTCATGGTTTCACTCCTCTGCTGCGCCTCATGCCCTGCTTTTCCCTCTTGTCCCACTGCATTTGTGTTTCTCTCATGGTTTCACTCCTCTGCTGCGCCTCATGCCCTGCTTTTCCCTCTTGTCCCACTGCATTTGTGTTTCTCTCATGGTTTCACTCCTCTGCTGCGCCTCATGCCCTGCTTTTCCCTCTTGTCCCACTGCATTTGTGTTTCTCTCATGGTTTCACTCCTCTGCTGCGCCTCATGCCCTGCTTTTCCTCTTGTCCCACTGCATTTGTGTTTCTCTCATGGTTTCACTCCTCTGCTGCGCCTCATGCCCTGCTTTTCCCTCTTGTCCCACTGCATTTGTGTTTCTCTCATGGTTTCACTCCTCTGCTGCGCCTCATGCCCTGCTTTTCCCTCTTGTCCCACTGCATTTGTGTTTCTCTCATCCGTGTCAACTCCTTCCCCCGTTCTCCTCTCCTGCCCCATATGCTCTCCCCAATGCTTCACCGCCTCATGCTCTCATGCTCCCATCCCTCGTCCCCCCATACCCCCCATGCCACCATCTTCTCATACCCCTCCTCCCACCAGCCATGCGACGAGCCTAGATGCGAGTGCGTGGAGGAGGGGAGACATCGACTTCACGGGCACACTCATGATCGTCACTCTCAAGCTCGTGGGGGCCGCCATGGACTGCCAGGACGGCAGCATGGGCCAGCAGGACGGCAGGGAGCGGCAGGACGGCAGGGAGAAACAGGATGGCGGCCCACCAGTACGGTCTGAGATTCGTTCTGAGAGATGCCTGCGCTGATGCCTGCGCTGATGCCTGCGCTGATGCCTATGCGATTGAGTCTTTGTCATTTGTGCTCATTCTGAAGCTCCTGGCACCATGGACTTCCAACACCGTATGCATAGCATCGTGTGGCATGGTGTGGCGTGGTATGGTGTGACATGGTGTGACATGGTGTGACATGGTGTGACATGGTGTGACATGGTGTGACATGGTGTGGCATGGTGTGGTGTGGTATGGTGTGACATGGTGTGACATGGCATGGCATGGCATGACATGGAACGGCATGGCATGGCATAGCAACCTCGTATGACATTCCATGCAATATTTCATTGCATCCTCATTTTCACATTCGGTAAAAATCTCTCCTTGTTACCCGCCCTCTTCGCGCTTTGCCCTTCCCAACCACACGCCCTCTGCGCGTTGTAAGGACGTAATCCTACAGATCTAGCAATTTCAAACTGATGCAACATAAATCCGATTAGAGCAAAAGCATCATGAAATGCTACAAAAGTCCACAAACCACCTAGTTGGCACCAACGGGTGAAGTCTCCTTGAGCTTCAGGTCTCCATAGCAACAATAAAGAATGTGCCAAACTGTTAGCAGGAGTGGAAACAGCAGCAGTTACAACTGCATTCTCCCCATCCCCACCCACACGCTTTCTTCCCACCTCCCCCTTCACCCCTCATCTCATCCTCCCTCTACCCCTACCTACCTCCTCGCCCCTCCCCCGTCCCCTCCCCCCGTTGACTTTCCCCGCCCCACCCCCAGCGCGCCAGCAGCGCCTCCCCCAACCCAACGCGCCCCCTGCTGCCGTTCCTGCTGCCGTTCCTGCTGCCGTTCCTGCTGCCGTTCCTGCTGCCGCTCCTGCAGCCGTTCCTGGGCATCATCTCCTTCCCCGCCACCCTGCCCGTGGGGCCCCATCCTGCCACCCCACCTTTCCCCCCGTCTCAACCCCTCCCTCAGCGCGCCAGCAGCGCCTCCCCCAGCGCGCGCTCCCGCGTGCCCCCGCTGGTGCCGTTCCTGGGGTTCGTCTTCTTCCCCGCCGCGCTGCTCGTGGGCCCGCCCTTCCCCCTCGCCGCTTACCACGACTACGTTGAGGGCAGAGGGGTGAGGTGGGGGAGGGGGGTGGGAGGGGTGGGCGAGGTGTGAGGGGTCAGAGGGATGGAGACGTTGGGAGGGCTCCCTTCCCCGTGGTGCCGCCCTTCCCCCTCGCCGCTTACCACGACTACGTTGAAGGAAAAGGGGTGAGGAGTGGGGGGGGGGGGTGGTGGGGGATGAGTGCAGGAGAGGGTGAGGAGGGGGAAGGACTGGGAGGGGTGTGAGAGGTGGGAGGGGTGCGAGGAAGTGTGTGGATCACTCGCGCTGTTTCTCCTTAACACGCTTTACCATGACATCCTCTCACAACATAAAACGGTGCCTCCATTCCCCCCCCCCCATCCCCAATTCCTCCCCCCCATCCCAATTCCTCCCCCCATCCCCAATTTCTCCCCCCAATCCCCAATTCCTCTCCCCCATCCCAAATTCCTCACCCCCATCCCCAATTCTCCCCCCCCCCCATCCCCAATTCCCCCTCCCATCCCCAATTCCTCCCCCCCATCCCCAATTCCTCCTTCCCATCCCCCCTCTTTGTTCCCCCTCTGCATTCCTCATCTTTGTTCCCCTCTCCATCGCCCCTCACCCCTCTGCACCCCTCTGGCAGTGCTGGGCCACGCTCTACGCGCACAAGCATCCATCTGCACCACACTCCCCCGCCTTCCCTCCGCGTGTGCTGCCGGCATGCGCCGCACTGCTCAAGGCGCTGCTCTGCATGGCCGTCTACCACACCCTCTCTCACCTCCTCCCGCCCGCCGCGCTCACCCAGCCTGCCTTCTTCGCCCGCCCCTTCCTCATCAGGTGAGCTGCCCCTCCCCCTGCCCTCTCCCCTCCCCCTGCCCTCTCCCCTCCCCCTGCCCTCTCCCCTCCCCCTGCCCTCTCCCCTCCCCCTGCCCTCTCCCCTCCCCCTGCCCTCCTCCCTCCCCCTGCCCTCTCCCCTCCCCCTGCCCTCTCTCCTCCCCTGCCCTCTCTCCTCCCCCTGCCCTCTCCCCTCCCCCTGCCCTCTCCCCTCCCCCTGCCCTCTCCCCTCCCCCTGCCCTCTCCCCTCCCCCTGCCCTCTCCCCTCCCCCTGCCCTCTCCCCTCCCCCTGCCCTCTCCCCTCCCCCTGCCCTCTCTCCTCCCCCTGCCCTCTCCCCTCCCCCTGCCCTCTCCCCTCCCCCTGCCCTCTCCCCTCCCCCTGCCCTCTCCCCTCCCCCTGCCCTCTCTCCTCCCCCTGCCCTCGTCCCCTCCCCCTGCCCTCTCCCCTCCCCTGCCCTCTCTCCTCCCCCTGCCCTCTCTCCTCCCCCTGCCCTCTCTCCTCCCCCTGCCCTCTCTCCTCCCCCTGCCCTCTCTCCTCCCCCTGCCCTCTCTCCTCCCCCTGCCCTCTCTCCTCCCCCTGCCCTCTCTCCTCCCCCTGCCCTCTCTCCTCCCCCTGCCCTCTCTCCTCCCCCTGCCCTCTCCCTCCCCTGCCCTCTCTCCTCCCCCTGCCCTCTCTCCTCCCCCTGCCCTCTCTCCTCCCCCTGCCCTCTCCCTCCCCCTGCCCTCTCCCCTCCCCCTGCCCTCTCCCCTCCCCCTGCCCTCTCCCCTCCCCCTGCCCTCTCCCCTCCCCCTGCCCTCTCCCCTCCCCCTGCCCTCTCCCCTCCCCCTGCCCTCTCCCCTCCCCCTGCCCTCTCCCCTCCCCTGCCCTCTCCCCTCCCCCCTGCCCTCTCCCCTCCCCCTGCCCTCTCCCCTCCCCCTGCCCTCTCCCCTCCCCCTGCCCTCTCCCCTCCCCCTGCCCTCTCCCCTCCCCCTGCCCTCTCCCCTCCCCCTGCCCTCTCCCTCCCCCTGCCCTCTCCCTCCCCTGCCCTCTCCCTCCCCCTGCCCTCTCCCCTCCCCCTGCCCTCTCCCCTCCCCCTGCCCTCTCCCCTCCCCCTGCCCTCTCCTCCCCTCCCCCCCTGCCCTCATCTCCTCCCCCTGCCCTCTCCCCTCCCCCCTGCCCTCTCTCCTCCCCCTGCCCTCTCTCCTCCCCCTGCCCTCTCTCCTCCCCCTGCCCTCTCTCCTCCCCCTGCCCTCTCTCCTCCCCCTGCCCTCTCTCCTCCCCCTGCCCTCTCTCCTCCCCCTGCCCTCTCTCCTCCCCCTGCCCTCTCTCCTCCCCCTGCCCTCTCTCCTCCCCCTGCCCTCTCTCCTCCCCCTGCCCTCTCTCCTCCCCCTGCCCTCTCTCCTCCCCCTGCCCTCTCTCCTCCCCCTGCCCTCTCTCCTCCCCCTGCCCTCTCTCCTCCCCCTGCCCTCTCTCCTCCCCCTGCCCTCTCTCCTCCCCCTGCCCTCTCTCCTCCCCCTGCCCTCTCTCCTCCCCCTGCCCTCTCTCCTCCCCCTGCCCTCTCTCCTCCCCCTGCCCTCTCTCCTCCCCCTGCCCTCTCTCCTCCCCCTGCCCTCTCTCCTCCCCCTGCCCTCTCTCCTCCCCCTGCCCTCTCTCCTCCCCCTGCCCTCTCTCCTCCCCCTGCCCTCTCTCCTCCCCCTGCCCTCTCTCCTCCCCCTGCCCTCTCTCCTCCCCCTGCCCTCTCTCCTCCCCCTGCCCTCTCTCCTCCCCCTGCCCTCTCTCCTCCCCCTGCCCTCTCTCCTCCCCCTGCCCTCTCTCCTCCCCCTGCCCTCTCTCCTCCCCCTGCCCTCTCTCCCCCTGCCCTCTCTCCTCCCCCTGCCCTCTCTCCTCCCCCTGCCCTCTCTCCTCCCCCTGCCCTCTCTCCTCCCCCTGCCCTCTCTCCTCCCCCTGCCCTCTCTCCTCCCCCTGCCCTCTCTCCTCCCCCTGCCCTCTCTCCTCCCCCTGCCCTCTCTCCTCCCCCTGCCCTCTCTCCTCCCCCTGCCCTCTCTCCTCCCCCTGCCCTCTCTCCTCCCCCTGCCCTCTCTCCTCCCCCTGCCCTCTCTCCTCCCCCTGCCCTCTCTCCTCCCCCTGCCCTCTCTCCTCCCCCTGCCCTCTCTCCTCCCCCTGCCCTCTCTCCTCCCCCTGCCCTCTCTCCTCCCCCTGCCCTCTCTCCTCCCCTGCCCTCTCTCCCCCCTCTGCCCTCTCTCCTCCCCCTGCCCTCTCTCCTCCCCCTGCCCTCTCTCCTCCCCCTGCCCTCTCCCCACCCACCGCCCTCTCCCCACCTCACCTCATTCCGCGTGCTCATCTTCATCGTCTGCCCCGGCCCCCCTCCCATCCCATGTGCCGCCATGCCGCCCACCCACAACCCGCCATAGCATAGGTGGGGGAAGGTGGTGGTAACCCGCCATAGCATAGGTGGGGGAAGGTGGTCGTAACCCGCCCAGCCGACTGTTGGATGGTCACCTGCACTTGGGGCGTCTCTTGACATTCTCACCTATCCCCCTCTCACCTATCCCCCTCTCACCTATCCCCCTCTCACCTATCCCCCTCTCACCGTGTGCACACTGCGCAGGTGCGGCCAGGTGGCGCTCACCCTCCTGGCGTACCGCTGGATGTTCTACTTCATCTGGGCCGTCGCTGAATCCGCCCTCATCCTCTCCGCTTTTGGCTTCTCGGGCTTTAAGGCAGCAGCTCCCAGCCACAGGGAGGGTGATGGGGAGGCGAGGGAAGGAGAAGGCGGGCAGAAGCAGCAGCGGCTGGAAGCAGACTGGTAAGTTGATGTTGATTGCACGTCGGATGGTAGCAGGGCATGAGTTGGAATAGGATGAAGCGACCTCACCTTCCATGTGCTGTCTCGACCCGTCTGCCAAATCGTGGGAGGTTCCTACCACCTGCACTGCACCTCTCCACGTGCTCCCTCTCTCTCCCTGCCTGCCTGCCAACTTTGCTCCCTCTGTCACTCCCTTCCTCCTTGCCTCGTTCCCCCTCCCTTCTTGCGTATCTCCCCTTTCCCTCATTGCACTGTAAGCCCTTACCACGGCCTCATCGCCTTCCCATAACCCATGCTCCATCATGCCCTCGCTCTCCCCTTTCGATCCGAGCTCTCCTTGTGATACGCGCTCACCCCGCCTCACCCCACTTGCCGCACAGCCGTGGACGGCAAGTGGCGTTGACTCGCTGTGCTCGCATGCTGCACCAGCTGGACTCGCACGTTTTGAGACGTCTCAGAGCAACACGTTTATCACCTGGACTCCGCATGTGCAGCTCGTCGCACGTCGCCTATCTGGACTGGCTGGTGCGACACCATCGTTGGGCCCAACGTCTGTCTGTCCGCACCACACTCCCACCCGCTCTCCTCTCGTGCTTTTCTGTGCAATGGGCTGCCATGCCCCCGTGCTCCCATGTCCCCCCCCTCACTGTGCACCTCACAGGAGCAGGGCGAGCAACGTGAACATATGGGTGGTGGAGGTCACGGGCAGTGCGGCACAGCTGCCATCAAACTGGAACATCGGGGTCAGCAACTGGCTGCGCACCTGTGCGTCCCCTCCCCTCCCCTCCCCTCCCCTCCCCTCCCCTCCCCTCCCCTCCCCTCCCCTCCCCTCCCCTCCCCTCCCCTCCCCTCCCCTCCCCTCCCCTCCCCTCCCCTCCCCTCCCCTCCCCTCCACTCCTCTCCGCTCCCCTTTCCTCCCCTCTCCTCGCTCCCCGTATCCCCCTACTCTACCCCCTCTCTCCCCTCCTCGCTCCCCGTATCCCCCTCCTTGCTTCTCCCACACAAGCAGTCCTTGCAATGCACTCACATGCAGTTTGGCATGCACTCGCATGCGGGTTGGCATGCACTCGCATGCGGGTTGGCATGCACTCGCATGCGGGTTGGCATGCACTCGCATGCCGGTTGGCATGCACTCGCATGCATGTTGGCATGCACTCGCATGCATGTTGGCATGCACTCCCATGCATGTTGGCATGCACTCGCATGCAGGTTGGCATGCACTCGCATGCAGGTTGGCATGCACTCACATGCATGTTGGCATGCACTCACATGCATGTTGGCATGCACTCACATGCATGTGCACATTGGAATACTTGTACATTGTAGAAAATTGCTCGTCAGGTCAAGAGCCGTTGTGCATGTCTTTGAATCAAAGGGCTGACTCGTTCCCGTTTCCGCATGGACAGGCATCTGCATATGTGTGTATGTGCATGTCCACACTATCTGTCTGCGCCTGTGCGTGCGTGCATGTGCATGTGTGTGCATGTAGATGTGTATGACCGCATGACCCCCCCATCAGGAAAGCCCAACCTGACAACTCTCCTTGTGACACAAGCTGTCAGCGCGCTGTGGCATGTGAGTCATGGGCATGTGTCATGTGAGTCATGGCATGTGGCATGCGAGTTGTGGACATGTGGGAATGTGAGAGCTTTGCTTATGTTTTACCAGACTATCCATCCCATCCATCCATGATCCATCCATCCATCCGTCCCTCCATCCATCCATCCATCCATCCATCCATCCATCCATCCATCCATCCATCCATCCATCCATCCATCCATCCATCCATCCATCCATCCATCCATCCATCCATCCATCCATCCATCCATCCATCCATCCATCCATTCAAGTATCCAACTTATTATCCCAGTCCATAGGTCTTCCTCCCCGTGTTTATTCCTCTGCTCCCTCCCCTTTGTGATGCGTATTTATTTGTGAATGAGTTCACACGACCATGCATGTATCCACGTATGATGACGTGTGTATCTATGTTGTGTATGTGTGTCAATGCGTGCACATGCATGGATGGTTGAATTTATACATGGATGGATATACACACGGACTGCATAACCTCTCTCATGACACCGTGCCATGTGCGTGGGGCCGATGCACTGTGCATCCATGAACAACAGGGCCTACATCCAGGCTACTACCTCTTCTTCCTCTCAGCCGCCATCGCTCAAGACGCCTCCAAATGTAAGTTCCTAACCGCCCATCACTCCTTCCGCCTCATGTCCTTACGTCATCCCTCGCACCTCCCATTCTTTCGTGCACATCCCATCCCATGCCTTGCATCCGTGCCTTGTGCTTCACATTTCCTTACCTTCCTTTCTGCTCTTCCTCCCTCTCCCCTCGAAACTTCGCCCTAGCTCCTTCTCTTCAGCTCCTCCCCACTCGCCCCTCTCACCCCTCCTCTCTCCCCCTCGTCTCTCCCATCCCCCTCTGCGCGCCTGCAGTGCTGCACCGCCTGCACCAGTCCATCCCCCCTCACAGGCGGTGGCAGCGCGGCATGGCATGGGTGGCACAGATGCTCTACACACGTGTGCTCGTGGGGTATGCGCCGCTGGGCTTCATTGTGAGTACTGCTATTCCATGTGCCGGCATGCTGTACACACACATGTGGCGTGCTTGGGAGTGGCGTGGTTGAAAGTGTTTTGTGTGCTCGTCGTGGGGTATGCTCCACTGGGCTTCATTGTGAGTGCTGCTATTCCGTGTGCCGGCATCATCTCATGCGCTTTTCATGTTGTGCTACACACTGCTGGACAAACATGTGCGGCCTGCTCGGGAGCGTTGTGTGTGCTCATGGGGTGCACGCCACCGGGCTTCAATGCAAGTGCTTCCAAATGCGGCCCCCCTGGATTCATTGCGAGTGCTGTGCTACTAACACACTGTGACTGTTCTGGCTCCATTGTAAGGTCATAAGATTTCTTTGAGTGGGAAGTGCATCGGTTGTGACTGCAGGCATGCTGGCTTGTTAAGCTCGCTGTCAGGCCTGTGCCTGCTGGGTGTGGTCGGCCATTGGTAGGTGAGCCGAAAGCATCTCATTTACGGCTCCCCAATGCCACAGGCTCCCCCATGCCAACAGGCTCCCCCATGCCAACAGGCTCCCCCATGCCAACAGGCTCCCCCATGCCAACAGGCTCCCCCATGCCAACAGGCTCCCCCATGCCAACAGGCTCCCCCATGCCAACAGGCTCCCCCATGCCAACAGGCTCCCCCATGCCAACAGGCTCCCCCATGCCAACAGGCTCCCCCATGCCAACAGGCTCCCCCATGCCAACAGGCTCCCCCATGCCAACAGGCTCCCCCATGCCAACAGGCTCCCCCATGCCAACAGGCTCCCCCATGCCAACAGGCTCCCCCATGCCAACAGGCTCCCCCATGCCAACAGGCTCTTCATCCCCCAGCATGCCTTGCATGCGGCACACGGTGCCACCGAGCCTAGTTCAATGACAACCCTCTTTCCCTGGATGGGGACCATCGGTGCCAGGTTGGAATGTACTCGTCGGTTACAATGCAGCCTGTGTCTGCCCCTCACCATGTCCTCTCCTCGTGTGCGTGTGTGTGTGTGTGTGTCTGTGTCTGTGTGTGTGTCTGTGTCTGTGTCTGTGTCTGTGTGTGTGCGTGCAGCTCCTGCGGGCGGACTTCACATTCAGAGTGTGGCGCTCTCTCTACTTCTTTGGCTCCATCCTGCCTCTCCTGCTCTCCGCCTTGCTTCCTCCTCTCATTCCTCCATCCAACCGGCAAAAGAAAGATCAATGAAAGGGATTTATGTATGTTTACCTTCCAGCAATGCTATCCTTTTGGTTTTCCACTTACCATCAGGGGGTTAGATGGTAGCAGCATGACATGAGATTGATGCAATGCAGCATTTGCATTTGCAACGTACGGACGGTCCCTAGTGAGTGATTGCACGAATTGAATGATGCGCTGACACACTACAACTTCCTATGATCGAGTTTCCCTTTGTGAAGAATTGCATAATTCGATATTTTTATACCGTTGGCAATTACATACCAAATAACAAAGGTTCTCTGGTTTGATCCCACTAAGTTGGGGATGAGTTGTGAGATATCTTTGACCAGTGCAGGAATATGGCCAATTTTGTTCAAGGCGTTGGAATGCTGGCAGGCATGCTTCAATGCCTGGCTTTCAATTTGGTTTGGATTGGAAAGGATTGCCTTTAGCGGTCTGACAGTATATATTCTATTCTGTTATTTCTGATACATTCAAATCGAATCATTCCCAGTGGGCCATCGGGGACGTGGTCTCTCTGGTTGAATCCGCTTCTCGCATTTGATCCGCGCGAGGTCGCCTGTGGCTCTGACGTTTTGGGGGCAGCTGAGCTGCGAAGCTACGATCGGATTCAATTCGCAGCAAGCCTCTGGGTTGGTTGGAGCGCGCTGTTTGCTTGGAGGGCCGTGCAGTGCTGCCGAGGGTGATCTGGTCGCCGGGAAAGACGCTCTGTTGAGTGAAGAAAGTGCCTTCCTCGAGTTGCTGGTGGGAGCCGCCCCGCTCACATGAGGCCGCAGCTTGCCATGACCTCGATTGTGTCTGCCTAGATGGTGAAGTTATGAGTGAGCCGTGCAAGAAAGTCGTGACTGATGCGGTGAATATCGTGCCTTGGACTGCCTTGCTGTAAAATGCATTCTGGAAGAGTCTTCTTGACGATGCCAGGCTGGATAACTGACGAATCACGTATGCAGCTAATCCAGAGCCGTGGATATTTGACGGGGTAAAGACTTCGCGCTCTCCGACAAGCCATGAATCCCGAACCACACTCCGTTTCCTCAATATCCTCGTTCAACAAGACGATGGGGCCAATGGGGTACTAGGCTATGGCGACGAAGATGGCCGACGAGGGAAGATTGATATGGGCGCACCACGTGGGGAGTAGATGGGACGCAGTCGTGTTCCTTGGGAAAAATATCTGCTGGTATTCCTCCTTTGAAACCTAGGGTGTCAATCCTTAATTCCGGTTCTCGGTGCTTCGAAACTGGTTCCTAAACCGAACTCTAAGCAAAGTTATGTTTCGAGACCCCACCAGTTCCGTAAAACCTAATTACGCTCCAAGAGCCCTTGCTCCAATATTTACGCTCCAAGAGCCCTTGCTGACGGTTTCGGGTTGGTGCTGACGTGGGAGGATCCATTGATTGAGGCCGATATTGAACCGATCCATACGGTAATGTTCCTACGCAACTTCATGGGATTTGTCCCTGCTGCTTGCCTAAGGTACGACCTTCTCGAAGTTTAGTCGAACCGTCAGGCTCATCGCTCCGCGATCTACGATTTTCCTTCAGCGTCGAAGCGGGATTTGCAACAGAATGCTTCTACGCCGTGCGAACTCAGGATACCCTTGATGCAATTACCAGTAGCCAGTCTCGTCACGACATGACTTGATGGTCGTGTCCATCCAGGTTGGGCCGAATGAGGAGCTATTCCAGATGGGAATAAGAGACGTTCGTCGACCAGCATTTCAGTGTCTCGGAGTTTGATAAGCTTGAATCGTCGTTCGACTGTTTTTCACGATTCCAAGATACACGAAGCACACTCAGTTGCTCTAACAGAGTCAAACATGGGGAGCAGTATCGACGTGATGGTCGAATCTCAGCGTGCCATGTCTTCTCAGCAATCACCTGCTGTTCTGGCCATGTCTCAAAAGGATGACATTCCTTCCTTACGACGCCTGCATGACAGCCGCGCGGATCTCGATCTGCTCGCGCTGGAAGGTCGGATCTCGTTTCTGGACGCACAGCGGGAACTCAATGCGATTCGATGCGAACAATTTGTTACCATGTTACAGTCGTTCTCAAAGGAAGGCGAGAGCGACGATGACGATTGGCGACATGACTCGAGGGAGTTGGGCAGAGAAAGGCCAATCGCGTCACATCTCAGCACAGCCACCCGCGCGCATTCAGTGCCGAAGATGGGCAGTCAGAAAGGGCGTGGCAGAAGCCGCCGTAGCAGCAGCCATGGCGGTCGGGCCATGAACCATCATGGTTCAACCTCAGACCGCCTTACACGGTGGGCATCGTTCGAGCAAGGCTCGAACTGTGGTGTGGAGTGGTGAAGCTGTTGATTTGAAAGTGCTACTCGCACAAATTCGCGGAAGGTGTACATATGTTTCTGTTTCGAGAATCTCATTATGTTTTTTTATGGGGCTATTTTTATCAGGCACTCTGCCTGGTTCCTTGTTTTTTGGCCCTGTTTGCAAGTTGTGCCATTATACATATCAATTCCTTTTCGTAATGGTCATAAAGTACATATCATTTCAAGACTGCCTTTGGTGTTTCCAATAACCTAACAGATACGGTATTTTTGTCAGAAGCATTTATTATATATATTTTTTGTTGAATTAACTGTCAGAATGTAGAGGTTCTGACACTGGGGGTGCTGGCGCTGGACGCGCTAGCACTCTAGATGCTGGTTCTGGGGGTGCTAGAGCTGGAGGCGCTGAATCTACAACGCCTGCTCTGACTGCCTGGCGAAGTTTCAGCATCTACGGCAGCTGGAGCAGCGGAGTAGGAGCAGCAGCAGCAAACTTTTTCCGAGTTGCACCTTCCCATATGTCTTACTTCGTTTCCCGGTTGACGCTACTGACTGTTTGTTCTACCACCCTTCCACCCACCGGTTTCTTCAACTCTCACGACGTAAGTTTTGACAAGCCAGTTTCCTTCCACATACGCTGTACCCACCGCGGTACCTCGGTTCCCCCCCCCCCCCTCCTTCAGTAGTCCCCCCCCACTTGAGTCCTGCCCTGTTTGGTGAGTCTCGCACCACCCCTCCTCCCTCAGTTGCACCTCCTGTGTCGCCTCCTTCTCCATAGTCCCCTAGGTTGTCCCCACAGTCACCACAGCAGCCTACAATGCTACCGCGGCAGGTCGCAGTAGACTCTAGGGGTGCGAATGGTGGAGCTGCTGTTTCTGAGGGTGCTGACGCTGGAGGTGCTGGCTCCAGGGGTGATGACACTGGAGGGGCTGGTTCTTGAGGTGCTGTCACTGAATGAGCTGGTTTTGGGGGTGTTGACGCTGGAGGTGCTGGCTCTTGGGGAGTTGTTGCTGGGGGTACTGGTTCTGGGGGTGCTACCGTTGGAGTGCCTGCCCTGGTGGTACCACATCGAGCGACGATATTCCAGCTTCTGAAGCAGCAGCAGCAGCAGCAGCAGCAGCAGCAGCAGCAGCAGCAGCAGCAGCAGCAGCAGCAGCAGCGACAGCAGTAGCCGCATGAGCCGTAGCAGCAGCAACAACAACAGCCATAGCAGCAGCAGTAGTAGTCACAACCACAACCGTTGTCACCATCTATGGGTGGTCTTCGTCTACTTGGTCCTCCTTTTCCTCCTACACACTACTGTCAAACTCTGGTGCTAATAGGGGTGCTGCGTCTAGGGGTGCTGAGCCTGCGGTTGCGGAGCCTGAGCGTGTGGAGTCTGGGGGTGCTGAGCCTGAGCATGCGGAGCCTGGAGGTGCTGAGCCAGTGAGTGCGGAGCCCGGGGGTGTTGCGTCTGAGCGTGCGGAGACTGGGGGTGCTGAGCGCGGGGGTGCTGAGCCTAGGGTTCATGCGTCTACACTACGGGAGCCTCTCTCACCACAGCAGTTGTGCGAGTGGTACGCTCGGCGCTGTAGCCCTCGGAGTGGCGATGCTGGAGCTGGAGGCCCCGGAGCTGCTGGTCCCGGAGGTGCTCATACAGGAGGTACTGAAGCTGCTGGAGCTGGTGGTGGTGGTGCTGCTGGAGGTGCTGGAGGTGCTGGAGCTGCTGGTCGTGGAGGTGCTCGAACTGGTGGTACTGAAGCTGCTGGAGCTGGTGGTGCTGCTGCTGGAGGTGCTGGGATTGCTGGTCCCGAAGGTGCTCACACTGGAGGTACTGGAGCTGCGGGAGCTCGTGGTGGTGCTGCTGCTGGAGGTGCTGGAGGTGCTGGAGCTACTTGTCCCGGAGGTGCTCGTACTGGTGGTACTGGAGCTGTTGGAGCTGGTGGTGCTGCTGGTGCCGGAGGTGCTGGATGTGCTGGAGGTACTGGAGGTGCTGGAGGCGCTGGAGCTGGAATCACTAGAGCTGGAGGCGCTGGAGCTGGAGGCGCTGGAGCTGGAGGCCCTGGAGCTGGAGGTGCTAGCGCTGGGGGTGCTGGAGCTGTCGGTACTGGTGCTGGAGGCACTGTGCAGCGGCGACTATTTTTCGTTCCGCCATCGCCATTGTCTCTGCCGCCACCTGGCTCGGCACTTTGCCAGGTTCTTAGTCTCCAGTCTTCTACTGGCCTTACTCCTCTCTTGCTGTGTCCACCGCCTGACCAGTCGCAACCACATCTACAGCCAGACTCCCCACTGCCTGCTCCTTCTCCATACACTGAGCAGCCAGACTCCCTTACAGAGCGTCGTGAGCCTACGTCTCGTCCTGCCTCTCGTGTTCGCACTGGTCCGCACTGGTCGTCGTGCTCCGCGTCACCGTCCTCCTCCTGTCGCCGGCACGCACCATATGGCACTTCATCCTTCCTCTGTTCCACAGCTTGTCCCCCTACCGTCTCCTCCTGCGTCCTCTCTTGCTGACGGACCGGACCCTACGTCTTACTTACTTCGTGCTGCTAGACCTACTGTCCCACGTCTTCTAGCCACTGTTGTCACCGACCCTTCATTTGAGTCCACTTCTGGGTCTGCCATAGTTGTTGAGCTTGTTGACTTTGCTGCCGCCTATCGTCTCGACTACGCCGCTAGTCTCGTTGCTGAGTCTGAATCTGTCTGTCCTCCGTCCGTCGGGGGTGAGTGTGCTCTTGGCACAAACGTCCTTGAGGATAGGCAGGAGGACTTTGAGTATCTTGAAGCTGCTGTACCTCATCTCGTGTACATGCTGCTTGCACCTGAAGGAGACTTGGATGCTCCGGACATCCCGACCCCGCGCTCTTACGCAGAGGCGATTACGGGTCCCTACTCCTCATAGTGACAGTCAGCCATGGACGTAGAGATGGCATCGTGGAAGTCCAAAGGCACTTACGTCGACAAGGTTCCCCCACCTGAGGCGAATATCGTCAGTGGCATGTGAATTTCCAGGGTGAAGCGGCCGCCGGGTTCTCCGCCTGTCTTCAAGGCGCGTTACGTTGCACGAGGCTTTAGTCAGCGACAGGGAGTTGACTTCTTCCAGACCTTCTCCCCTAACCCGAAGATGACCACTCTTCGGGTGGTGCTGCACGTCGCCGCTCAGCGTGACTACGAGCTTCACTCTCTTGACTTCAGCACTACATTCCTACAGGGCAGCCTGCACGAGGAGATCTAGCTGCGCCGCCCAACTGGCTTTATTGGGTCGTTTCCCGCTGGTACCTAGTAGAGCCTCCAGCGGCCAGTCTACGGTCTCCTCAAGGCGCCTCGTGAGTGGCACGACACACTAAGGACGACACTTGCGGCTCTTACGTTTGCTCCTTCGACTGCTGACCCGTCGCTGTTTTTGCGCACCGACTGTGAGGATCTAGGATCGAGCTCAGAAAAGAGAGTTTGAATTGAATTGAATGATCATCTGGGTACAACACGAGGCTATATATAGGCTCGTCACAAGGCCTAGTAACCAGGTGTTATGCGAAGGTTCCGCGGGTCGCGAAGCGTACCGAAGAGATCCTTCCCGAATTTGGTAGAAGGCAATTCGGTGGCAGCCGAAAATCCAGTATTCGGTGCACACAACCTAGCTCGGTGCTATAACTATAATAAAACACAGGAAAGCACCTAGTTTATGAAATCAAGCAATTCATGCATGCATATGATGATCCTATGCTAGAAATAGCATGATAAAGTAAAGGCAACCAAGCATAGCTGGCATAAGCCGTCGTACTCTCACACGTCCCCCCCTCAAAGCTGGGTGGCGTGAGATACACCCTGCTTGACAAGATATTCCTTGAGAGCACGGCGTGCGTTACCCATAGCAGCTTCTGCAACCGAACTGTCCTCAGTGGGGTCATATCCCTTCCAGCGGATCAGAAACTCGAGGGTCTTGCCGCCGCGGCGCCGATGGGTGAGAACACGTTCCACTTCGTACTCGAGTTCATCCTGTACAAGAACAGGTGGTGGTTGCGGTAGCTGGCGTCCCTGGAACCGTTGGTTGGGGTCCTTGTAGGGCTTCAGTAGCTGGACATGGAAAGCGTTGTGAAGCTTCCACGTATCTGGTAAGCGCAAGCAGAATGTAACTGGTGTCACCTGTGCCTCAACGAGAAAAGGAACGCAGAAGCGAGGCCGAAGTTTGGATGGGAGGTGAGACAGGTTCAATTTGCGCGTGTCAAGAAGCTGTCAAACACTATATGTGTTGTTGTTGTGTAGGCTATAGTGGGTTAGCCTTTAGGGGGTACAGAAAACTAGGGTTTGCTACTTGTACTCCAACTTTTCATAGTTCACACACTTCTTGATTCTGACATGGTATTAAGAGCTATATGTTCTAGACCTAAGGGCCCACCGTTCCGCTAGTGGTGCCCTCGTGCGCCCTTTTTTTTAGCACCCTCATGCGCCTCTCCTCTCGTGCGCCCTCGTGCGCTCTCCTCTCACGCTGCCCGTGTGCAGCCCGCTAGCAGCCCGAGCGTGGCCCCGCCGTTTTAGCGCGCGTCGGAAAACCGCCGCCTAGGGCGGCTCGATTTTTTCTCACGAGCTCCAGCAGGCCGTTGCCCGTAGGCCCCGCTAGCCCCTAGGCCGACGCGCGACCCACAGCCGCCCGCGCGTAGGCCCTGCGGCGATCGCGCGCCGGCTGCTGCAGCCCGCGCTAGAACGCAGCCGCGGCCCGCGCGCTTAGCCGCCGCAAGCCGCAGCCGCGGCCCGCGCGCATCCGCACCCTAGGCGCCGCCGCGCACCGAGCATAGGCCCGGCGTCGCGCCGCCCTACCCACCCGAGCCGCGCCGCCCGAGTCGCGCCGCCCGAGATGCGCCGCCCGAGCCGCGCCGCCCTGACCAAGCCGCGCCACCCTACCTGCTCCTACTGCTACTGCTGTTACTACTACTACTGCTGCTACTGCTACTACTGCTACCTGCTACTGCCACTATGGCCAGTCCCACTGTTCTCACCTTTGACGCCGAGGGCCGCCCGATTAAGTTCGATGTCTGGCTTGATGACCTGCACCTGTACCTCCAGATCACAGCCAAGGACGATGTTTCCCTCTATGACCACACGTCAGGCGTTGCTCCCGCACCTCCCGCCACTGCTGACAGTACTGCTCGCTCCCAGTGGCAGACCCGTGATGCACACGCTCGCCTAGCTGTTCGCAGTCACCTACCGTTAGATGAGCGTGAGCACATCGGACAGCATAAGACCACCAAGGAGCTGTACGACGAAGTAGTCGCGCGCTACTCCTCTCCTGCCACAGCTGCCATAGGCCGTCTCTCACTGCCCTACCTCTTCCCAGACCTGTCCGCCTTTGCCACTGTAGCTGACCTCATCACCCACCTCCGTACGAGTGACCTCCGCTACCGTGCAGCGCTCCCCCCGATTTCCTCGCCAAGAACCCCCCCCCCCCCCCCCCCCGATGTACCTCACACTGTACCACCTTGTCACCCGCCTCCCTGACTCCCTTCGCACGGTCAGGGACCAGTTTCTCGCCCTCTCCCCCACTGACCTCACCGTCGAGGAGCTCCTAGCACCTGAGAAGAGAATTTTCGCTGTAGGTGCCTCTCGTGGTGACTCCCGCACCCCCTTCTTTGAGGGGTGCTCCCCCTCCCCCCTCCTCCCCTCCATTGCATCTGCTGCTGCTGTCGACTTCCTCGGAGCTGAGAGAGTCAGGGCCGCGTCTGCTCCTAGTGGGAGACGCAAGGGCGGCAGGGGCAAGGGGGCAGGGGTGGTGGAGGTGGAGGAGGGGGCGGCGGCGGTGGAGGAGGTGGGGGGGGCGGGGGTGGTGGCGGGAGTGGGAGTGGCGCGGGTGGTGGGGGGGTCAATGGCGGCACCGGGGGTGGTGGCGGCGGCGACGATGGTGGGGGTGGTGGAGGTGGTGCTGGCAGTGGTGGCAGCGGTGGAGCGGGTGGCGGGCGCGGTGGAGCGGTGCAGCGTGGAGGGTCTGGCGGTGGCCTGAGGCAGCACCAGCAGCGCCCAAGCGAGGCTCCCTCGCCCCAACAGCTCGGTGAGTGGTACTCTCAGCGTGGGGGGTCTGGGGGAGGGGGTACCTGCCCGTATGTCATCCGCACAGGTGACCGCACTGGCCAGACTTGTGGGAGGTTTCACACTGCGCAGCGCTGTTTCTTTCGCCTCGACGACGCCTGGCGCGAGCAGTTTCTTGACGCCTCTGAGCTGCCCCGCTGGGCTAATCTGCCTAAGAAAGGGGATTGATATCTTTGCTCTTGATTATGATGCTATTCTTGCTGCTATGTATGCATTGACTATTAGTGCTGAGGGTGACTGTTACCTGAGTGTTCCGCCTGACCCGGGCATTGGGACCAGTGAGGCTATAGCTCTAGGTGCTAGCGTGTCTGCTGCTCTAGGTCCTGGTGAGGCTGCTGCCCTAGGTGCTAGTGCATCTACGTCTGCTTGCACCGCACCTACTGAGGCACTGCACACCTTCACACTGGACTCAGGTGCTTCCCGCTGTTTCTTTCATGACCGCACTGCCCTAGAGCAGCTTCCTCGACCGGTTGCTGTCTCTCTAGCTGACCCCTCAGGGGGTCCGGTCCTTGCGACCTCCACCACTGCCCTCCCTTGTCCTGCTGTCCCGTCTGGCACGCTGTCGGGCCTCTACCTCCCCTCGTTCTCTACGAACTTGGTGGCGGGTTCCGCACTCCAGAACGCGGGTGTTCACCAGTTCACCCCAGCCTACGAGCGTGTGACGCACTGCACGTATGCGCGGACGGGACATCACCTCGCTACCTTCACTCGGCAGCCGGGGTCGGACTTGTACACACTGACCACTGAGTCTCCTCAGGTAGCTGCGTCTGCGTCTGCGTCAGGTCAGCTGTCTGCCCCCTGCTCGTGTCGCTCCCTGTCACACAGGACTGTCCTCTGGCACCACCGCCTTGGTCACCCGTCAGTGCAGCGCCTTCGCGGCATGCACTCCAGGTACCTTGTCTCTGGTCTTCCCACGGTTCTCCCTCCCCTCCCACCCTCGCCTGCTCCTCCCTGTCTTCCCTGTGTCGAGGGGCGGCAGCGCGCCACTCCTCACTCCTCCTCGTTCCCTTCCACAGAGGCTCCCCTGCAGACTCTCCACCTGGACGTGTGGGGCCCCGCCCGCGTCCGGGGACAGGGCCACGAGCGGTACTTTCTGTTGGTCGTCGACGACTACACGCGCTACACCATGGTCTTCCCCTTGCGTACCAAGGGTGAGGTCCCTGATGTCTTGATCCCCTGGATCCGCGCTGCTCGTCTCCAGCTCCGCCAGAGGTTCCAGTTGGACTTTCCAGTCCTGCGTCTGCGCTCTGACAGAGGTGGCGAGTTTTCCTCTGACCTCTTGGCAGCCTACTGTGCGGAGCACGGCATCACCCAGTCGTTCACGCTCCCGGCCTCTCCATAGCAGAATGGAGGTCACATTGGTCTTGTCATGGAGGTCGCTCGTACCTCCATGATCCATGCGTCTGCCCCCCATTTCCTGTGGCCGTTTGCAGTGCAGTACGCCGCGCATCAGCTCAACCTCTGGCCCCGTGTCTCTGTTCCGGAGACCTCGCCTACCCTGCGTTGGACGGGGGAGGTTGGCGATGCGTTGGTGTTCCGAGTCTGGGGATGTCGAGCCTTTGTTCGCGATACATCCGCGGACAAGCTCTCCTCCCGTGCCGTTCCCTATGTCTTCCTTGGCTTTGTCCCTGACGCGCCTGGCTGGCAGTTTCACCACCCCACCTCGCGCCGGGTCTTCACCTCTCAGGACGTCACCTTTGACGAGTCGGTACCCTTCTACCGTCTCTTCCCCTACCGCACTGCCCCGCTCCCCCCCCCGCCGCTCTTCCTCACGCCAGATGCTGCTTCGGTAGACCCCCTGCCTCCCCAGGGTGCTGCTCCCTC